TCTGTACTACACAGGTCTGCACTTGACCCTCTAATCTTTATGGACTTGCGGCTGAAGGTGGTGGTGACCTTGGCTTTTCAGGCTTTGTCTTGGCTCTAATTTCCCCCAACTGCTAGCACTGTGCAGAGGTCACGATACTTCACAGTTTGCCGATTAGACATAAACTTTCACATAAGCAGATGGACTTTTCTCCATGTTGTGAAGATGTGACATTTTAAAGACATCCTAGATATTCAAATCGCTCCCAAACAAAACTCATCTCCTTTATTAAATGTCTAAAATCCCAAATTATTTCGTTCTGTTGTAAGCTCTGTGACAGCAAGGATGATGTGCCTTCCCCGGAAGATAATGGGCAGTTTCACAAAGTTTTGCTTAATGAATAACGAAGGAAAAGATGACTAATCATTAATGTCATTTCCCGCTACCGAAGTTGACGACAGGTATCTATAAAAGACAAGCTCTAACAGTCTTCTCGCCACACAGCACCACTGAACAAAAATTCCTGTTAGGAAATGCTCATCCTGAGTAGCTCTTTCGTACCCTGAGGAGGGAGAGTTTTGTCGGGACCCTGACATGTCTGCCATCCAGGCAACGGTGCCGACGAATCCTGCTGCAGTTCGACAGATGTGATCTGAGTCTCTCCCCTTCTCCTGAGGAGTAGGTGGGAGGCCATGACAGCTCTTCGCAAAGGCCGCTGATGCAATGCACGCCCGGCTAAGTAAAGCCGGCCCCGTGAGAGCGAGCTCAGCGGCCCCCGGCCTCAAGGGCCACAGGGCAGCCTCGCTCGCTGCACCTGCCCATTCGCTCGCCCCCTCACCCCCTACCTGGCACCTAAAAGCCTGGCGTGTCATCCCGCCTCGCTGCAAAATCCAGAACGGGAAGGAGTGGGAGCCTGGGCACGTGAGGCGTGAGTGGGCACCGGCACCACGGAGGGCTGGCTAAGACGCAGCTCTTTCAAAATAGAGCCACCTTTTTAAAAGAAACGGAAAGCCAAAGACAACTCTTCTCCCTACAAATGCCTTTCAGTCTTTTCCTGTCAGTGGTATCCTACTGGATCTTAGATGACAATGGGTTACTCTTCCCCGTGGCCCCTGCAATCTTTGGAGACGCTAAAAGTCGAGGACGCCACAGGAAGAGCACGATCGGATTGTTTGACTTGTACAGCAACAGAGCCTGATCTGCCCCCCTGCACCGTCCGGCTGCCCCGTGTGTGCCAGCCAGCACGGTACCTGGCAGACAGAAACGAGGCCAGCACACATTCTCTGCGCCCAGTTCTGAATTCCTCCCACAGACGAAGTGGTGCACTAGAGTTGGCTACAGACAGAGGGGATTTGGCCTCGGAAGAGCTTGCAGAATTTGGGAGTTTTAACAGCTGGTAAGCAAGAATGTTCTGATACATTTTCAAAAAAAAAAAAAAAAAAAAGGTCTTAGAAATTCTAGAATGAGCAGGACCCTTCTCTGACCCCAAACAACATATTGGCAGACGGATGCATGAAATGCAATTTCTAGTTGTTTCCTTTGTTTTGTTTTGTTTTGTTTTTCTTTCTGAGAACTCTTACTCTCAATAAATAACTTGACCCTTTTGCCAGCCATGCATTCTCCGTCTTTGTCCTTGCCAGGCAACGTGCTCACAGCCATTTCTATATCACGCAAGCACTCCGCCATCCTCCGAGGCGGGGAAGCACCGCACAAGCAGCAGCAGGAGCGGGATTCAGGCTCTCAGCCCGCAGCCACGATGGCCCCTCACCCCTCCCCACCCCCCCACCCCCCTCCGCCCTGCCCCACCCCTGTAATGTGGATGGGATGGTTGTGAGTCAGAAGGTGGCCCTCGCTGCCGCTGCCACTGAGCAGAAAGCCTCGCGCGCTACAAATCTGTTCTCCTCCCAATGGCTGTGGCAACCCTGCTCCAATCACTCGTCCAAACGCACACGTGTACCATTATTGCAAATGGCGACGATGCAGGTGATAACAATATCGGTTAACACCCATCGAGTGTTCACTTTGTGGGCATTACTAACCTGAAACACGGTGTTTGTGCCAATTCCCTGCTCATCAAGACACAGGCAACAGAGCAGACAGAATTGGAAGAAGATTCCCACTGTGCCACTAAAGAGCTCAGGGACCTTGGGAAAATCTTTCCCCCACGTAGGCTTCACTCCCGTCTGACAAATGGGGATACTTTTGCCCACTCTGCCCTCTTCCCAAAGACACTGCAAGTTTACGGCGAAATACCAGAGATTAAGGGATGTGAAAGATCCATCAGGAAGTGGAACACACTCTCCATACGTATAAGGTTTGGACAGGCTCTGGTCCAGGGTCACACAGCTGGTTCATGGCTGGCCTGAAGCTGAGGCCCAGGGGCTGGGACTCCCAGGCCAAACAGACAGAGCCGCTGTTCCTCTCAGTTCAGGGGAGCACACAGACCACCACCTGGCACGGAAGACCACTCCACACAGGAAATCCGCATGGCTGACTCTCATCTCCTGAGGCGGCTCCTTACCCCCACGCATCACTGCTTCCCCGTGTCTCAATTTTCCTCACACACACACACACACACACACACTCTGTCTCTCTCTCTCTCTCTCTCTCACTCATACACACTTATGCGTAACTTCCCTCTTAGAGATTCTCAGAACTCACTGAACTGGTCCTGAAGGCAGGGATGTATGAACATCCTGGGAAATTCTGGAACCCTCAAGCTATCGCTGTTCTTCAAAATGAAGATTTCTGGAGGTGGGGAGGAATTAGTGAAAGAAAAAGGTGCCCTCAGGGTAGCACTGTGTTTCTGTAACAAATTGTATTTGACGTGTGCAAATATTGTAAGACCCAGTAATTCTGACTCTTTAAGAAGTGGCTCTTCTTTAATTAGACTAGATGGCACTGTGGTATCACCCTTTTTACAACCAAGGAGATCTCATTTCATTTCAGATCATTTTGCTTCGATTTGGGACAATCCAAGAGGGTGAACCCTCCCCTTGAGAGGTCTGGTTACCTTACGGAAATTTTCTGAAGGAATCTGCCAGAGGATAGTGGCCACCAAAAAAATACATAATCCCGACCACATCTAAAAGGTGCGCTTAGAGACCACGTCACACTCTGACCTATATGTCCACGAGGATTTCAAAAGACACATGTGCCCTAGACAGAGCCATGACTTCCACAGTGGCCACGACCTCATTTCTATTTCTCCGGATACAGTCACGGCTGTGGGATTCTATTTTTGCCCTAAAGAGCTTTTTTTTTTTTTTTAAATATCACCACCCCTCACTACACCTACAAGCTCTACCAGCAAGTGAGATTATTTTCAATATTGCCAAATTGTTTGGGATCTTCCTAAACACCAGAACCTCATGACAATGACTTACACAACTCCCACAATGGACTGAGGTGGCAACCTTCCTGGAGCCAAGGTTTGCTCACGATTGGAAAAAAAAAAGAAATCTGTTAGGGTAGTGAAGGCAGTGAAAGGTCAACAGATTCTGCCAGAATCGCGGCATTCAAGAAAAGACGCTGTAGCCTGAGGGAAGAAAGAATGAGCAGGGGTGAGGTCTCTTCACAATTCAATGGTGACCAGAAAGTCAGGGGGCTCCATTTGCCTGCATCTAGAAAGAAGAAACTGCACTGGCTGTGTGCAAAGCCCCTACTTGGAGTACCCTGCCTGGGGCGCGGGGCCGCAGGGATGGGAGCTGGGAGCGGCCCAGGTAGGCAGCTAATGTAAACAACAGTCTGGAGTGTCCCCGTGATGCCTGATGGGGAGGCAGAGAGCACGGCCTGTCCTTGCCTGCCCAAAAGCCCCGTCCAGAGGTCCCCTGGCAACTAGACTCACCCAGCCCAGTCCCTGGGCCCCCTGCCCCAGCCCAGATCTGTTTTAGGGGCAGTGTCAGAATGGGAGCCCTGGCTTGCAGCAACTCCAGCCCAACCTGCCCTTCTTCCCCGCCCCCTTTTATGGCATTCCGTGACCTCCAGCAACTGGGCACTGCGGCTGGATGGAGGAAAATGCCCTAGCTTCAAAAGCAGCTGGCTACACACTCTTCATACATCACCTTTCTCCGCATCAGCCCCGGGTTCCCAGCTCGTGGGCTGCCGCCCCCCCCCCCCCCACCACTGGGGCTTGGGATTCGTACATCTGGAGAGGTTCCTCAAGACCGAACATCACATGGGGTCACGGCAGAGTCCCAGCTCGCCCGTCGGCACGCAGGGTGCCCCCTCACACGCAAAGTGCTGGGGGTACCTCGAGTGCAACCAGTAGCGAGGGGCGCAACCTGGGTACCATCAGCTCTCTCCCGGTGTCCCAAAACGGCGGCAGAGGGACACCCAATCGTCCAGGAAGAGCAGAGCCAGAGGAGACAAAGGAGGAGGGTGGCAAAAGTCAAGCAAAAAGAGAAAAATCAGAAAGGGTAAAAGAGAAAGAACGAGGAGCTAAGTGAGAAAGAGGGAAAGGGCAAGAGCCAGCGGCTAGGAGTCGACAAGATCAGGAGCAAAAGAAAGAAAGGCCAATAGAGGAAGTGAGAAACGGAGTGGGGGAGAATGCAGGAGCGGGAAAGGGAAGAGAGCGCAGAAAGGAGGCTTTGGGACCAGGGTGCAGAGAAAAGCAGAGAAAGAAGAGGAGGGACTCGGGACGCCACACACAGAGCCCGGTTCTTTCCGGCGCGGCGCGCTGGTGCGGAGTCCGCGGGCGGCGGCTGAGTGAGGGGCGCTCGTTAGGGGCCTCCCGACCACTCCCCCCGCACGCACTCGCGGCCACGGAGCAGGCCAACCCGCAGACAGACAGACCAGCCGTCCCGAGCAGCGGCGGACAGGCTTTCCGCGGCCGCCACGGCGCCGTGAGCGTGCGCGCCAAGGAGTCTGGCGCCCGCCCAGCCCGGGCGCACTCGCGCGGCCCCCGAGGTGCGCACGGGGGCGCCCGCAGCGGTCAGCAGCGCGTCCCCGCCCTCCGCCCGCCCAGGCCCAGGTCCCCTCCCGCGCTCCAGGGCCCTGCTCGGCCGCGGGCGCGGACTCACCTGGACGGTCTCAGCCTGGCGTCGCGCTTGCCGTCCACCACGGCGGGCACGCAGCTGGTGAGCTCGGTCCAGTCGGCGTGCAGCCCGCAGCTCCAGCCCGTGGAGAACCTGGAGAAGAGCCAGGTCTCCCGCTTACCCGGCCGGTGGCAAGTGCATTTCTTCTGCCCCACGCGGCACTCGCAAGGCTGCTCCAGCTGGATGTTGCGCACCAGGTGGCGGCCGAAAGTGGTGCCCCCGGTCTTCTGAATGTGCAGGAACACGATCAGGTCATCGCCCTTGATGTCGAAGTCTACCTTGCGCAGGAGGTCGCCGCGGCTGAAATTGTAACGGGGCACGAACCTGGCGGAGCTCTCATCCTCCGAGCGGTACGGGTCCGGCATCGGGGAGCTGAACGCCTGCAGGCGGAGGAGCTGGCATTCTGTGCCGGGGCACACGTACTGGAGGACGATCACCGCAAATAGGAAGAGCATCACCAAAGCCAGCAGCAGCTTGTTGGATTTCTCATCCATGTTCCCGACGCTGGGGGAAACCCAAGCTCCTTACGTCAATCCCGCAGCTCAGCCCGCGCTCGCCGTGCGCCCGCACCGCCTCCTCCCCGCGGCGCCGCCGTTGCGCCCCTTTCCCCCTCCCCTCCACACCGAGTACTCCACGGCGGCGGCGGCGGCGGCGGCGGCGGCGGCGGCGGCGGCGCCCTTCCCCGCTTCCTTCCTTCCCGGCAGGCTCAGCGCTGTGGCTCCTGCCGCACACCCCCCTCCCCCCGACTCCTTCCCGCTGGCCGCCGGCCCTCTCCCCCCGCCGGAGCTCGCCGGAGCCGCGTCGTGGGGGTCTCGTCCCCGCGGGACGCCGCTCGCCTCGGTCGCCCCACTCCCCAACTCACACCCCCGGTCCGAGCCCCCGCACGTCTCGCTCCGCTCGCGGTGGCTCCCATCTCCATCCCGCTTCGCCCACCGGACTCTCCCCGGTGCCTTTGCCCCCAGTCCCCTGGGCGCGCACGCCGCCGCCTCCCCGCCCGCCCGACTGGCGGGCTCCCTCGCCGCGCGCCCCGAAGCCCCGCACTGGCCCGCGCCCGCTCGCCCACCTTGGCGGCCGCCTCGAGTGAGCTCCGAGCCGGGCGTTCGGAGTTGCCCCGGGGGGACGAGTCCTCCCGCAGCCCGACTCGCGAGCGGAGACGCTGCGCAGCCGGTGCCCGCGGAACGGCGGGGAAGCGGCCGCAGCGGGGCCAAACGCGCGCCGCGCCCCTCCGGAGCCCCCCAGCCCGGCCGCCGCCGGCCAGCTGGAACTTTGCGCCCTCTCCTCCCCTCGCGGCTGCCTTCCCTGCCCGCGCGGCTCCTGCGCGCCCCGACCCGGGAGCGCGAGTCCCGCTTTCGCCCAAAACGTACCTGGCTAGGGGGCCGAAAATCTTGGAGAAGATCGCGCCGAGCACGTGCTTCAGCGAGTGGCCCAGGGCGGCCAGGCCCCGAGTGAGCAGGGCCCGGCAGAGGGAGCCCAGGTCCCAGCGTCTCCTGAGGTCGTGCATCCGCCTGCGGCGGCCTCGGGGCAGCAGCGCGAAGAGAGAGGTGCGCGCGGCTCCCGCCAGGGAGGAAGACGCCTTTAGGGGCTCGTCCAGGAGCGGCTGGGAGTTGAAGCCGCGAGACACACCCCTAGGAGGGCCCGCGCGGACTGAGGCGGCGACTGATCCCGGCCGGCTCGCTGCCAATTCGGCCTCTACTCTGGAATGCCGGCGGGGACAGGTGGTGCGGGCGGGCGCTCCTCGCTCCGGTTGCAGCGGCGGCCCGAGCGCCCGGGCTGCACACGCAGGCAGTGCCATTCCCCCCTTCAGGCAACTCAGGGTACTAAGGATCAGCAGCGAGCTTGAATTTATGTAATAATGCCTCGCGCCTAAGAGCTCAAGCCACTTCACGAGCAGAGGACCTGGGTTTTCTCCTGTCTTGGGGAACGGAGGTCACTCCAGTGAGCGCATCACTCCACTTTGGCTGGTAATTTCAACCTCCCCTAAAATAGCAAAGGCGCAAATTGGACCTTTTCCCTCTCTCTTTGCCAATTTCCATTCTCCAGCGGAAGCGGGGGCTTTTTCTGAAAAGGTAAGTCAGCATGAAGGAAAAGCATGACAAAAAAAAAAAAAAAAAACACGTTACCGAATGGGAATCTGAGCTTTTACAGAGCAGAGACTCACCCTTACTCCTCTCTCCTCTCTTCTTGCTGAATCCCAGTCATCCAGCCCCGTGCCTACAGGAAGGCTTCGCTCCTATAAGGTTTATTGAAGGAAAGATACATGACTAAATCCTACATCAGAGTGAGGCCATCTAATCCAAGGCGATGTGATAAATGAACTGAGGCCCAGAGACGGAAAGACACTTGCCCAGGGTCACACAGCAGAGCCTCAGGGTTTGGAGCCAAAAAACCAGGCACTAGCCAGACACTGACACCACCTCCTCTAATAAATAAGTGCAGACCATTCCCCAAGCCCTGGTGTTAAAAGGCTCTTTTTGGCTGCAAGGACCACAAATGTAAGGATTAGCAAGGAAAGAGGACAAGGACCCCAGCGAACTCAGGACTCAGACTGTTCCTATCTGATTGATCAGGTACCTCACGAACCGCTGTTTCTGTGATCAAATGCCCATCTGTGTAGTCCCACCGCTGCAGAAGGGACTTGGGTGGCAGCAGAGTTTCAGAGCAGCACTGTCAGGGCTGAGGTAGGGGGATAGTGAGATGAGTATGGGGATGGGGTCAAGCCCCACCAGGGACAGGCTCTCCCAGGATCTCTGTCAGAACATTTGATCCTTCTGTGCAGCGAAGCAACAAGCACTGGTCTGAGAACAATCACTTCCTTGCTGGGCAGCCCTGAGATAATCACTTGCCCCTCCTAAGCCTCAGTTCCTGCTTCTGTAAAATCAGACTCATTCCTCCTTTTTAACCATCTGGGTAACTGTGAGGATGACCTTTGGGCAATTTTTCCTGCTATGTTTATGGGCTGCTCTAAGCTCGGATGTGCTCACTGAATCACAGGCCAGGTAAGGAAGGGGTCCTTCTCAGCCTATGTCATAGCTGCGCCCCTTGCCCTTACCTCGCCCCCGTACTTCCTCAGTCCTGGCTGGACTTCCATGTGCCCCCAAACCTACTGGGGACAGTCAGGGACCCTTTGCCCAGCTCCAGGAATGAGAGATTTGGGGGAACCCTGCATTTCAGGTATCATACCTGTCCCAGGGCTCCAGGGGGACACGCTGACTTGAATACGGAGCCAGATGCAGCAACTTACAAGGTAGACATCTTGGCTTCCCCAAGAGCTCCCTTGCTGCTCCCCTGCTCAGGCTTGTGGGACATGCCTGCTCCTCCTGAGGATGGGTGTGGATGTGAGCCCCCCGGGGGAGTGGGAAACCCTGGGGGTGGCCCCGGAGTTCGGCTCGCTGGCTGTCCCTTCCTTCCCCTTGGCCCCTACAACAGTCAGCCTATTTAGTCCAGCAGGTGGCTCTCCTTGTGATGCCATATGATGAACCCTCTGCCATCAGACTATTATAATGGCATTCTTTGGATCCCCAGGAAAACAATTCTGGAATGGGTGGGTCACACATTCATGCCTCCAGCAACGAATTGGAGTTTCTGGGATTGGAACAGGGGGAAGTGCCTTGGGCAGAGATGCAGGGAGGGCAGGTAACCAGTGGAAGGAGGGGGGATTGGGATTTACTCTTTCAGATCATGAGAAGGAACGCACACGCATATGCGTGTGCACACACGCACGCACACACTTACAGTCTGACTCAGAGGAAGAGACAGGCAGATGGGTAGTCGCAGAGCAAAAGAAGGGACAGGTTGGGGCTGTAAAGCCCAGTTTCTGAGATCCAGAATGCGTGCATACAACAGCTTACTGAAGGATATTTGCATTTACAAGCCTTGCCTCCACCCACCTCATGCTGTAAGAAAAAGAAATCAATCTCTCTGGTAGATTTCATATATCAGGGCTCCTAGAAGTGGAAGTGTCTTTGAGGGGGGCAGGGGACCCCACAAGTCTCAGAGGACCCCTCCTGAGGTGAAGAGGCTGTGTCTGAGCCGTGTTCTGCTAAACTGTCCAGGCTGGACCCACCTCCCAGGAGCCCAGGAACTGAATAACAAAGATCCTTATACGCAGGAAGCAGCCCTATTTGGGAGCTGGGGGGGTGGGGGTGGGGCAAAAGGGGAAAAGACCTGGCCTTATCAGGTCTTTGGTTTTGCATCTCCTTATTTCTTAGACCAATCTGAGTGTCAACGCGTGGGCGTATATTTGAGATTCAATACTTGGAAGATGAGGAGGACCCTGCAGTCAGAGCAGGGCTTCTGTTTGTCTCCACAGCGTGCTTTGCTTTTCATTATTTTTCCAGAACCATCCTTCCACGGTTTCCACAAAAGTTTGATGATTCTGGGAGCATAAAGGTCAGCCTGGCTTGCATACTAAGCAGGGCACTTCCAGACATTCATTTGGTGGCTGAGTTTGAGAGGGCTGCAGGGAGAGTTAGAAGAACATCCACCCCAGGAGTCCAGAGATCTGGGCTCTTGTCTCGACTGGACCACTAACGAGTGAGGAAGCCGCTTGCCGGCTCTCAGACTCAGCCCCCTGGTTGTAAGAAGGCAAAGTTGATGTGGTGATTCAAAGGGCACTTTCCTGCTCCTGAATTCTAGGTCATGTGGTTTCTTGTCTCCCCCAAGGGCCAAAGTGCTACCAAACCCTCTGCGCCTCATCTCAGCGGAAAGCCATAGGCCTAGTCCTTAACGATGGCAGTCGTGACACTCACATTGTTAGGTCCCACCAGGCAATCAGCAGCTGGACTTGTTCCGGGCCGATGTTATAGGGGTGACAGCAGGGTCCCCTGTTCAAATTAGAACAGAAACAGTGAAAACGTAATGTCAAAGAAAGTGCTGGCACTCTTGATAGAAAGCATAAAGCACTAAGGAAATCTAAAGAAATGTGCTTTCCCCCTTACCCTCAGCCTTCTTTTCTGCCCTGCCTTCCCAGCTGTCTCTCATTTTTTTAAATGTTCATACCCCGAATAAGAGGCGATTTTTGTCACAAAGATTGAAGGCATGAAAACTATCAAGTCAGTTCGTTTCAGTTTTTATGCATCTCTCCGAACTTCAGTGAACAGCAGTACTTAACGAAAGCACTGTTCTGGAGAGCCGCCTGGGTGGCTCAGCGGGTTGGCGCCCGACTTCGCTCAGGTCATGATCTCACAGCCCTCGAGTTCGAGCCCCTCACGGGCTCTGCGCTGACAGCTCAGAGCCTGGAGATTGCTTTGGATTCTGCGTCTCCTTCTCTCTCTGACCTTCCCCTGCTCATGCTCTGTCTCTGTCTCTCTCTCTCAAAAATAAATAAACGTTAATTAAAAAAAATAAGAGTGCTATTCTGAAATGTAAGCTCGAATATTATAAACAAGTTGGTGTGTTGGATACAGCAGTATCAACAGCCAGCCAATTTCCCCGCACAAAACACTGCGTTTTATTTATTAGTCTTACAGACCGTGGGGCTCAAGGAAGGAAAGAGGAGGAGAATGTGCCAGGTACACCTTTGCGGGTGCTACGTGAATGCATGCTGCAAAGGTAAAATGAGCACTGGCCGGGGAGTCACAGTGGATGCGGAGCGTGCAGACCAATGACTGCCCGTATCCTGAGGAGGAGCCTCCACTATCTCACTAAACGGTGGAATTCCCACTTCTCACTGTGTGGAAGAATCGGTCATACAGGCAGGACCTTTTTAGAGCTATGGAATCCAGGGCTCGGCAGCCAGAGGCAGCAAGTAAAACTCACCTCCTCAGTCACCTTACTTCTTTGTGCCTCAGTTTGCATTCTTATAAAATAGCCTGACTGGGTACCTTTAGAAAGCTGCTTAAGAGGAATGCAATCTCAAATTAACTGTGTTTTTTTGTTTGTTTTTGTTTGTTTGTAGCAAGGAAAGAACAGAGATTTAGAGAGGATATCACCTTGGGATTTAATCAGGGCCTCAGTTTTCTCATCTAGGAAAATGGGACTAATGACAGCCACCTCACTGGGTTGTCGTCTACTGAGTGAGCGCACTGAGTCTAGTTTCAGGAAAAGTAGATCTTTAGTAAGTGTTCATTGAGTATCTTTGGTCTGAGCTCTTATATTTTCCACAATAGTAACATACATATATTTAATGACTGGCCATGGGTGGCACGCGATGGTCTAATTGTGACCCAGGCTGGCTTTGCCGCCCCATCCCAGTTATTTATATGCTTCTTTCTCTTACCCTACCTCTCTGTACCTCTCCAGTGATCTCCTGGCCTGTATCCCATGGAGGAGGAAAACCTCTGACCCATTTAATCATACTGAGGATTGAAACATGGACTTGAGAGCCCTAACAGGAGACATTTACAAGAGAGGAAGATAGCAATACTTAGCCCTAATAAATGATCCCTCCAATGAGATACCATGAACTGCATAGTAAGGGATACTACGCACAGTGCACCCTCGAATGACATGAGGCTTAGAGGCGCTGATCTCGCGCAAAGTCAGAAATCCATCAATAACATTTAACTTCCCCAAAATTTGACTACTAAAAGCCTGCTGTCGACCAGAAGCCTCAGCAATAACATAAATACTTGATTAACACATATTTTGTATACTATATATTTTTTTTTAAGATTTTATTTTTTAAGTAATCTCTACGCCCAACACGGGGCTCCGACTCACAACCCCAAGTTAGAGTCACGTGCTTCTCCGTCTGAGCCAGCCAGGTGCCTGTTATATGTGTTATACTGTATTTGCACAACAAATTATGCAAGACAAAATGAAATGTTATTAAGGAAATCATAAGGAAGAGAA